ATCTTCTGTGCAGTTTGAGTTCTATCTGAACAGCCATTCATTAAACATACTACAAGATGAGAGGGGTTGGAGCAGGTTTAAGTGAAGATCAAGATGATTAGAACCAAAAAAAAAGAAGAAAAAATACAAAAAACATTAAGCTGGGTTGGTTTGTGCATGTGGCTGATAATATGTGAGGGAAAAATGGGCATTTCCGGCCCAGTGGGTTCTTCCTGTTTATGTTCACTATAAGAACTGGGTAAATTGTAATTCAAAGTTCTGCACAAAAGGCACAGTAAAATAGATTATGTTTTGAGATGCCAAATCTGAGCTGTTAGCTGTCATTTTCATCTGTCTTCATATACTTCCGTGTGCTGCCATGGTATATCAGTCACACAATTTCTAGGGAAAATGGTACTTCTGTACAGTGGATGCAGAGGTGGAGCCAGAATGCAGCTGATCTAAATATTGTGTTCATTTATAGTGAGCTGTGTTTAAAATTCTGCCATTTTTCGAAACAAAATCCTGAGGAAGCTTTGTTTCACTTGGACTGCTAAAATGTTTCTGCAATGTAATTAATTGAATGTTCTGAAGCAGTAGATACAGGAAAAGTCCACAGGCTCTTCTGCTGATGCTCAGCTGGTAAGAAGTGTACAAGTTGAGTAGAAATTTCTGATTCTAAGAAAATATGAATTTTCTGCTCAGCCTGTATTTCAAGGACAAATATCCTCGGTCTTTAAGAGGTTAGACATTTTTATGAAAAGCTGGTGCAACTCCATATTAAATCAATAAAAATGATTTGTATTTTAAGAGTGAGGATTTCCTCTAGAGGATGGTATTGGAGGAAACAGAGTTTTGATATAAGGGGTCAATATCCATATTTATGAATCATCCCTCCTGAGTAATGAGAGCTGCAGAAAAGATGTATCCCTTGTGTTGGTGAGCCTCATGACCTGAGACAATGTGTGCTACATGTGTCAGAGGCTTCTGAGGAAAAAGAGAGAGATGTAGCACTGTAGAAATTATCTTGAAATGCTTACTAAATATACTGATTGACCACAGCTAGAAGTCTACAGGATTCCACAGATTATAAGAATGGTAATTAATCATAATACCAGAACATTCAGGCGGATGATGTGTTTGCAGTTTTGAGAAAACTGCACACCACAGTTTAGTGAATCTGTGGTCATAACTACTGCATCAATATAGACTCTCTGTTTTCTAGGGCCAGGAAAAAGCCATACTATACAAAGCAGTCATTTTTTTTTGTATAATTTCCACAGCTTGGTGCTGGGTAACTGTCTTTCCTCAGTTTCCCATTAAGTGAATGCAGAAATGCTCAGAAAAATGATCTTTGCATAATCTAAATGGTCTTTTCTGTAGAAAAAAAACCCCCATTATTTTATAATTCTAGAATTATTTTATAGTTAATTTAATTTGCTTGCATGTTGATGTCCATGTATGTGATCATGTGTTTGGAGAATTACTGAGGAAAGTTTAGCTTAGAAAACAGGCTTTGCTTTCAGTTCTGGAAGTAAGGTGGTCTCTGTTCTTGGTGGGGAAGTGAGTTTCAGGATTTGGCTTTATGGTCTGTGGAAGGTAGTTTGCATGCTTGAGTTCCTTTGGGTGTGAGCTTCTGGTGGGATGTATTTGTGACACTGTTGTGGTGCAGGAGTTGTTCTCCTGAGAATTAGTGGTGTGGGGATCTTGTCAGCACAGCAGGCTGTGATGCAGCTCTGCCCCACAGATCTGCAGCTGCAGCCCTCATTTGCCTTTTGTGGAAAAGATGCCCAAATGCTTAGCATTGCCTTCTGCATGTCAAGGATATAAGATGCACAGCAGGGAATGCTCGGGTGATTTACAGGAAGAGGTGCTTATTCAAATGATTTCCAAAAAATATTTTCATTGGCACAAACATCAGTATGTATCAAGACTGTTCCCTGGCAATTCTTGAACTGGAGCAGGATACAATTTACTGGATGAGTAATTTGCTGTGAATGGTTGTTCATCTCTACTCTGGCATTTTCTAAGCAATTGATTATGACAAATTACCAGGTAACAGGTTTGTTTAGGCTGTGCTTTGAAACAAACAGCCTTTGCTGTGGATCCAGCCTGCTGGGCTGAGTGACAGCTAGTGCCCCTGGGCTTGTCTGAAAAGGAGGATTCTTAGATATAAGCAATCTGTGATTAAAACCTTGTATCATTCCATCTTACTCAGCCATTTTCTTTTAAATTTTCAAATTGAATCCCATCTTTTGCTAGCAGTGATTACAGTGCTGGGGAGGCTCCACATCACCCTTCCAGGGCTCTGCTTGGCACGCTGTGACAGCCAGGGCACGCTGCACAGCCTTTGTGAGTAACAACAGACTTGGAAGCTACCAGCTGGCACAAATTGCCAGAAGGAACTACAGAAGATTATTACTGTGCAGGAAGCTTTCTCTGGGAAGGTTTGTTCTGCCCATTTTGTCCTGGGGAGTAGTCAGTCCATTCCAGGGAGAGTGCTATGGCCTTTGTGGTGTGCATCGTTCATGTTCCTTAGGCTCCTTCAGGCCAGGATGCCTGCAGGATTGGCAGACTTGTGTTCCTGCAGTAGATTTGGGGTTGTCTGCATTCCCCTCTGCTGCCAGCACAGCTTGGTGAAATTTAGGTATCCTGTTTTGGGTGGAGGAGTGACATGGTCCTTTTTTGTGTTTATTCCTTGAAACAGGAGGTCATTAAGATACTGAAACAGACTTTACAATTAAATTCCTCATGTTTAGGGAGATGTTTTTTTCCCCTACATACTACTGGTATCCCATTATCATAATTCTCATAATAAAAAGCATATGCTTCACCTGTAAAACTTGTAGATTGCTTCTACATTATGAAGATTTTCTGCTTGTGCTGCCCAGTTGTGAAGGCAAAGCTTGTAACAGAAATCTGCTTATATTGAGGCATGGTGCTTTCAGCCTTATGGGAATGTTACTTTGGTATTTACAATTTTGAAAAGACCAGGTGATCAACACATTCACAGAAAAACAAGTGTTCCTTAGCAGAAAGCAGTGTTACTTGATAATGTCTCACCATGTTTTGTGTTGATTGTATGGAAGCTGTTATTTCATGTTTAAATATTGGAATCCAACCTGTTGTTACTAATTTAGAAGGACAGGATTTATCTTGGTTCAACAAACCACTTTACAAAGGTGCTTTTCCTAGCCCTCTTTTCCATCCATCTCTAGCACCCTGTAGTAGTGTTTCTTTCTTTCCTTTCACTAACAGGTGTATTACCTTGTAAATGGTATTGAAATCAGGTGAGAGTAATCTTAGTGTAAGAACTGTTATCAACCTGTATGTATGCTAATTACACAGTATGAAATTCTTATAAAGAAATATGGTAGTAATCATTGTTTTCAGTGATTGTGACTATTCTTCAAGTTTATGATGACAGAGTAGAAAGTTTAATTTCTCAATTTAATGACTAATGTTTTTACAAATGCTATACTGGTTAAAAAAACTTCTATTTTGTTGAAATTACAGGGAAAAGGTTGGGGGTTTTTATGGCTTTTGATAAAAATCTGAACATACTCCATTTTCATAAAACATCCCTGTATAACATAAAATACCTTTTTTAATGAACAGTCATATACATTTTCACATGTCACAGAGGAGGTTTCATTGTCAATACAGGAAAGTTGGTTACAGGAGGGAAGTGATTAATTTGTCTATTTAGCTGAACTGAGTTTGTCCAAATTCTGTGTAACTGATTGCATGGGATAATAGCTACTATTTGATCTAGACGGGCGAGGGGAGATGGAAGCGAGAAAGTAACTTTTCTCTGGTCATGTTGTAATGTAATTAGTTGTTTGTTTTTCAGGTTTTTTTGCCTCCTTTATCAGTTTTTGAAAACTTATTAGCATTTTTTGTTTTGCAACTGGTATGAAAAATAAGGCAATCTGTACAGCTTCACATGGGCTTGTATTATAAAGCATACTTGTGAACATATATAGACACACATATTTATAAGAATGAAAACCATTAATGAGACTTTATGTGAACTCAGCTGGTACATTAGAAGAACCAGCAAAAAAAAAAAAAAAAAAAAATCTGGCTTTTCAATTTCAAAGGATATAAAAATAGAAGCTCAGTGTGAGGAACACAGCTTTCACTGATTTTTTTCAGATACCTGTCTTCTACCATTATGTTAGAGCCCAGCTATTAAAAAAGTTTGATTACTAGTGCTTAATGTTAATTTCTATTTTTGCCAGAAGAGATACACAGTGCCCTGTTCCATTTTTTCTCAACTATGCACACCTCTCCCTGCCCCTCAGTTTCTAATGAGATAGTACAGCAACCCACACAGTTTTCAGAAAAATTTGTTTCCTGAAGGCATCAGTTTGGGTGTAGCAATTCTACTGCCAGCAAGCCCCAAACCTCTTGGCAAGAGCTTGGCCTCAGTGTTGTTCCCTAACAAGAATTTTGGGGAATACCAGGGGCCACACTGATCATCTGGGCTTTGCACCTTCCCTGTTGTGTTTTCTGTGGTTACTGTCATCCCAGAGAGGAGTTTTGTCAACAGATTAATGTTCTCCTATTATGAATAAGAAGACAGGCAGATGGAGAGCATCTCTGTTCGTACCACTGCTCCTCAGTGCCCCAGAGCAGCACAAACATGGGATGCACTCCCACTCTCATCTGGTGGGCACCAGCTCCTTCCAGCTTCTGGCTTGTAAAATGCACAGCAGGGATAAGCATAAACAAGGGCAGTCAAGTGGTGGAAGGGAAGAAAGTAGGAGAAAAAGACTAAGAGAGAGAGAGAAGCCAGGAGCAGGAGATAAAAACTGGGCAGAGCAAACAATTGTGAAGCTGGAACTAGTATGAAGCTTCAAAATTGCAAATATGCCACTAAGCACTGCGGGAGAAGAGGGGATCTAGGAAGCAAAGCTGAAAATAGAAATCATGCATCTGAGAAGCTACTGGTCTTTCTCAGAAATAACAACTTTCTATCAGATTTTTACCACTTTCAATTGACTCATAGCCAGAACTGCAATTAAGCTTCAATATATTTTATAAAAAATAGTCTTAGTTTACTTTCACATAAGTGAAGAGATACAATTGCACAATGGTGGTTACAATGGTAGAAATACATACTGTTGATAAAATGTTTGCAAGAGATTTAAAAACATACTGTACAGCACCACATCTGAAATTGGATGATGGCAAAATGAATCATATGTTTTGTCTAAGAAAATTAAGTTCCTACTAATTTTTTTTTCTGAATAAATAAAAAAATACAATGTGCAATATGTGTCTGACACTACTGAAATATTTCCTGAAGTTAAGCAATATATTAAAACAAAAAATGAGGTAAAAAAAGACATTCATGCATTTAAGCCACCATTAGTCTCTGACTCTAAAATAAGGCAGATCATAATCTTTTAAAAACTCTCTTTAGCCATTTAAATCCTCTTTAGTGCTTTTCAAGACAAGGTCTTGACAGACCTTGCAGAATCATGAGTTAAGATGCTTTTTATTTCTGACAGATCATTTTTGACAGGTTCAGCCATATTTGAGATGCATTACATAGAAGAAAATGTTGCTTTTGTTTAATGAAGAAAGAAATGTAAATTAAAAGGAACTGAGAGAAATGGATGCTTTTAGAGTTAATCACAAATGAGACTGCTTTGAGGGAGGGAGGGGTAAGGGAAATAAAATTATGTGTCATCCTCAGTTTTAATGATGTGGAAAAGTGTGACATTAAACAGGACTTGATGTCCATTATTCCAGGCATAGAGAGCTCTATCTCTTGCATTGTAGTCAAGCATGGATATATGAAAATACTGATTATGGAAAGGAATGTCTGTGTACTCATAAGTGGAGGTTTTTGTGGAGTAGGAATAGTAGACCTTGGCTCCCGTTAAGTGCGAGTTAGTGACATACAAGGTGCCACAGATCATGAAAGATTCTCCAGCACTTCTCTTAGGGTAGCCCGTGCTCCAGCTCTTCAGCACCTCCAGCGTATCCTGGTTCAGCTGGCTGATGACAATGTTGCCTGCATTCTGGTTGGTGGCATACACAGCCCACAGCCCAATTTCATCCGCCATCAGGTCGATATCGGAGAAGCCACCCCAAGTGTAAGGGTAGACATTGTGGAAGCCAGCGTACTCCAGGCTACGCTGCGCCAGCACCCGCCCCGTGTCGAAGCTGTACTTGATGATGATGTTGCTCTGGTACTTGTTGAAATAGAGGGAGCCATTGTAGACAACGTGGTTGGTTCCTGCCCATTTGAATGGAAGGTTGTATGTCCTTGATTCGGCCCCACTGACGAAGTCTGCGATTGATTTGTATTCACGGACAATTTTATTGTTAGTGTAACTATCCATGTACCAGACCTGGAAAGGAAACAAAGATTGGGAGTGACCATCTCAAACAAAGTGTGTGGTATGTGATCATGATATGGCATGATGGAGACCTTGCAGAAAAAAAAGGAAAGCAAGTTTTAGTTGTGCAGCAGGCTATGAAAGTGCAACATTACCCACATTCCTGTCACAAAAGCAGGAGGAACTCGTGGATTTCTGAATCAAACTTTCCTGTACAGGTGAACTCTTGACACAACTGTTACTAACTACAGTGTCTGCATTTTCAGAGAAATTTAATACTGGATTATTCAGTGCTTGGGCCTCTGCTATATTGTGCTTGCTTAAAGGTATTTCTAGAGACTAATAATCTAAGAGACAGAGATGGGAAATGGAATGTGAGATAAACTTGAATTTATACTTAGGAATAAATGTGGTTAAATTTTTTTCGGCTGATTCTCTATTCAAAGAAAAAAAGTCTTTTCTTAGTAAAGGAAACAAAAACAATAGTAATGAAACCACTAGGGTTTCAAAGCCATTTTTTCCCCTTAAAAAATAATTGTTACTTCTTTTTAATGTTCTTTATGCAGCTTCCATTCCCCCATTTTTTTCCTTCATGCAATTTGCTTTTTCTCCTTTTAGTTTCTCAGAGTTTGTTGCTCTCCTAAAGGTAACTGGGATTTCTGGAATCAGTAGCAAACCTGCGTGGACACAATGGGCAGAGGAGAGCTGCACACAAATCTTTATCTTTTGTCACTTTTCTGTTGCTTTTTCTGTTGTCTTTAGTTTTTTCAGTATTCAAAAATTAATCTTGTGGGTTTCCTACAAATGAAACCTATTGTTTTGACTTCCAAAGCTCTTTGATGAAGAGAGCATCTTCTCAAAACTATTTGAAATTTGAGATCCTAATGGAGATCCAAATAACAAAACAATAACATAGCTTGGATATGATGGAGCAAATGATCTGACTAGAGCCTACATGGGGCCTAATCCTGCCAATTTTAACTGTGCTGCATTATGGGTTGTGTTCATGGGTAAAAATGTTGATGTTTGTTGTAGATTACTCTGGTTTTTAAAAGACCTAAGCACAATTAAATACGTTAGGAAATAAAAAAAAAAATGGGGTTGTCAGTTGTGATAGATGATTGTCAACCCTAAAAAAGTTGAATTAAATGGCACGAAAGTGCTTAGATAATTTTTTCCTTTTGATATTTTTCCAAAAATACTGTTGCTTTTTCTCTGGAGATGTTTGAGTGTGAAAATGACTGAAATAGAAAAACATGCTCAGGAATGTAACTTCCTCGGGGAAAATATCTTTTAAAAGATTTTAAAAAAGCAAGTAAGACTCCAGGACACAAAGATAATGCCTTAACATACTCTGTTATTTTTCTCTGATGCCAATGGATCTGTCATCCAGGCTCCAAATCGGGTTCCAGATATCTTCACTGTAATGGGGCCTGTGATTTTCATCAGTTTGCCACATGCTGAAATGAAAAAAACAAATGCATTAATGCACAACTCTTCTTGATGTCAGAACACAAGACTAAATGCTCCAAACAACATACAAACTACTCCAGGGGATTCAGGCTTATGTTGAAGCTTGATTGTCACCTTCACAGGAGGAACTTTGCCGTATTGAAGAGTAATATAAATATGCAAAAATATACACATAAAATTTTATTGATATATATTTTTGTATTTACATCTTTTGAAGCACAGTTATGGTCTTTTCAGGCTGTGAAAGTACATGAGGCAGAATGTGTCTGGAAAGCTCTAAAGTGAGCAAGTATCAGGAGGAGGCTGTGATAGTGCAGCTGGAGAGGAGCTGTTCTGGAATAGCTAGAAATGGGTGGATAGTCCCATTCTCTGTGATGTGACTGGATATTGGTAGCTGCCATATAGAGCAACTGAGTGTATAATTTATAGAAGGACTAGCGAGGGAAATAAAACCACAACATTCTCTTGAAGTGTTCATAAGCAGCGTTATTATGGGTGGTTTTATTTTTGGTAATAAATAAGGGAAAATGAAGTGAGGTTTTTTTTGGCACTTGCACAAATGCATTCCAAGTGTTTTACTGCTTGCACTTTTCTGCTTATGGTCCAATTTGTCATGACATACTAAAATCAGTGAATGAAGAATTAGTTCTTAATGAATGTATGTCTATTTTCCTGCATAATATGAATCCAGGAAGCACTATAATATAGTTATTAGAGTTTGCTGAGAGGAAGTCCCTGGATTTTGCTGCATAAGTGCCATGATTTGCTGTGTAATCTTTGGAAAATCCATTTATACTTTTGGGCTGCTTGTTCCTTCATCTACAAAATAGGGATAAGAATCTAAATCTCTATTACCCAGTTTTATACTAAATGATATTTGTAAAGTTCTTCAAATCCCAAAGGGAAGGATGCTTTGGAAGTAGAAGTACCACTGCAATCAATAGTCTCATGCCTGCAGTAATAGCTCCTCTGCCGCTGATGTAACAGAACTTCTTTGGATACATAGAATATTCTACTTTTGAATTTTTTTAAAAATTGTTACTGTAAAATATTATTCAGTCTACATTATAATCAGATGCACCTAGATCTTAATCTGATCTGTATCTACTCTAATTATATGTCAGAGTATTGGCTTCTGTGAATGCTACCCACAGAAGTTTTATTCCATAAACATGTCCTGACAAGAATTGGAGGGTTCCAAGCATACTGTGCAACCTGCCTTCTCTTATAAATACCCATGACTTACAGGACTATCAGCAAAGGATCCATACATGCATAATTACATGTGAATTTGGGGTGTGTGTAATCACATGAACCCTATTTCTATGTGTTTAGCTGCATGCACCCTTTAAAAGTTTTGTCAACTAATTTCCCAGCAGCTTCATCTTGAATTTTCTCTTATTCCAAAGAGAAGGAGCAAAATTCAGTCATCACAACTGTTGTGGTAATCATTAAATCTCAGTGAGAGTAAGAGAACTGCTTACTGTACTGCAATGAGTGTTGAAAGTGTTGCCAGTGCAGATGGAAGAACCCTTTTAAGTGGCCAGGACAATATAAATAATGCATTATACTGCTGAAAAACACCTGCTGGGGAGAAGAATAGAGAATAGCTATTGCATACACTGATTAGAAAATTGTATTGTGAAATGCAACAAAATCTGTGAAGATTCAAGCCAGATCCTGTGGCACACTGGGGCCATTGGCTTCTGGCTGCCAGGCTGGCATGGACAGGCACAGCTGGGTCATCTCCAGCATGGCCAGTGTGGCCACAAAGCAGGTGTTGGCATGAAAGCTGCTTTCCCCTCATGCTCTCTGATCTGAGCACCCAGTCCCAGCTCTCAGCAGTTACAGGAAGCCAAACTGAGGCTGCTTGTACTTCAAAAGGCACACAGGGATAGGCCAGAAAAACAGCCAGTCCATTAGTAGGGTACCATAAATGTCATTTAAGCGTCTAAGACCAGGGAATAATGCCAATAAGGATGAATGAATCTGTTACATCTTGAGAAGGTCCACTCCCTTTTGTTAATGGCTATGCTTAATAATTTATTTTACACAAAAACTTTCTCTCCACTGCTAATGTACATAATTTTAATGGTTTTTTTTTCATTAGGTACATCAAGAGATTAGAATGCGTTGCAGGAATTCAGGATAGATAGGATGTCAATACACCTAGTAATTCCATTGTACAAAATATATCTCGCACTCACTGCTTCACTAACTGTTGTTACAAGGTGCTGTAAAAGCAAAGAAAAACAAGATACTTGTTAAACTGATGATTTTTGGTATCTAATAACTTACTGGAACACTCACTATCAGAAAATACTGTTTATTCACAAGAATTTTCTTGCTTGCTGCAGTATTGCAACACAGCTGTTTTCTCCTGACTGCCTTCTGTCAGTGCAGTAATGTGCTATTTTGTGTGTGTACTGAGGGGAAAATAGTATCATAAGAAATTTCTGTTTGAAGAAGTCTTTCATGTGTTTTAGCACATCACCACTGTGCTATTTCCAGAATAAAATAAAGGAATAAATTATTTAAGAGGCTAACTTAACCTAGATTTTTCTCATTCTACTGTGTCACAAAAATAAGGAGTCTCTGCTTATCCAGTTAAGAAGATATTTAATGTCCTGGGTAGCATTTGAAAGTAAACATCCCACACTTGATAACTGAGACACTAATCAGTGTCTCAAGCCTAAACCTTGGAATTTCAAGTTTATTCATGTTTAGTGTTAAGTAAATTGTTTAGTGTTAGGTAAATTGTAAAGTGTTTATTTTTCATAACGGGGCTGGATTGTTTGCTTAGGTATCCAGGTTACAATAGTGATCCATTCAGAAATCTCCAAATGCATGGACAGACTGGGAGAGGGAAGACTGCATTGTGTTTGTAAAGCAGGTTACCTATCCCTGATAGAAGCTGAGGCTGACACTTGATATTGATCCTTCAGTCTCTTAGTTTTAGTAGCTGGTACTGAGCTAGTGCTGATTTTCAAAAATGCTCAACGTTTGACTTCTAAAGGCAGCATGGGAGCAGCCAAGGTGGATGTGGCCTGAGGTAAACCTGGTGCAGCAGTAGCAATGGATTGCTGCTGTGCATCCTGCAGAAATCATGCTTTGGGCTCTCTTAAGTTAGATGTGAAGTTTGGTTAGATTGTAATGCTAATTGGAGAATGGGAGATATCCTTGACACTAATGGTACAAGCTAAAGACATTACAGTCAGAGTGGCCTCTCAGGTGATACAGCAAGGTGCCAGGGTTATGATGTGGACATCTCAAAACTGATTCCATTCTACTTTTCACTGGTTTTTTTTTTTCATATTGACAGCCCAAAGATTACTCTAGTAGCAGTGTCTGTCTAAGCTTTTTTGAAAGAATATTTGTAACTCTCCAAATGGTTTAAACCTCAGATTTTGAATTTGCTATGTGTTATAATTTTTCATCTAATACCACCTGTATACAGTAAGGCATTACATCATGTCATGTACTTAGAATGATATAACTGACCTTGGGTTGAGTTACTTTTGTCTTTTATTAGAGTAGCATAGATCAGAATATAATGCAGTCTTTCATCAAAGAAACAAACAAATTCCCCCTCCCCCCAAACCTTAATCTTTCTAAAGAGAGACGGCTAAAAATGCACAGCCAAGGGACCAAATTTGCCGTGAACTTGTTAACTTACTGAGCTTTTTCATGCAGTCACGAAGCCTGGTTTCTAAATTGACTACACGCTGGTGTAGTTCTTCATAGTCATAAGCACCAATTTCTTCCTGAATCCCAGTGAGCACAGAAGACAGATTCCTAATTTCCTCCTTGAACTGTGTGATCAACTTGGCATCAGTTTTGTATTGTTCCAGAACTGGGATCAGTGGCAGGAGCTCATCCATCTTTTCTTTCAACTCCTGTTAAAGGCAATCATATGTGCATTAAAGATGTTTAAAGGAGTTCAATCCCCTAATTTTCTTTAATGTAATATTTATGCCTGATTATTAAAACAACTTGAAAATAATTATTTTAGTTACAAATCTATTATTAGTCTACTGTGAAAGTCTCAGACACTTCAGACTTAATGGTAGTAAGCAGGAGATGCATGAGAGAGTAGTCTTTCTATTGAAAGTAAAGAGCTATCTTCAAATTATCTGAACCAAACCCACTGACTTTCCATCTAGGGGATATAAACCACCCCTAAGTGTCTTTCATCAGAAGAAGAACGGGTCTGAACTCACAGTAGTGTTCAAGATCATACCTGGTTTACAGAGCTGTCATACAGCGTTGATGAGCTGGTAATCTCTACTTCATTCGCTACAAGTACTAAATTCTTTGTTTTTCTCAATGTCTGTTGAAAAGTGTTTATTTCTTTTCCAGCCACAGTGATAGAAAACTTTTTTTTCTGAAGTAAAAATCCATGGTTCTTAACTGTGGTTTGTACTTGTCAGCTAGCTGCATCACTAAATGCTTTTGAACTTGCTCAGTTGACATCTCTTCTGGAATATCACCAATAGTATTTTTGCCACGTGCAGTTGTTGTTGCATTGCCAATCATATTCTTAAACACTGACTGAAGAAAATAAGGCTCCGTCTTGAAATCCCAGACTTCCCTTTTCTCAAAATTTTTTGGGACTCATGCTTTGAGAATTTGTCTTAATCTGTAGCATATATTGGTTGCCCATCTCTCATTTCTTAATTATTCTTTTTAAAAGTACTAATAATAGAAGCTTTACTAAATTTAAACCAATTGCTTGAAGTTGTTTTTTGTTACTATTGTGTAGAAAACCTCAAAGAATCCTTATAGTCAAAAGATTTTGCTTTACTGAAATGTGGCAGCTGTATTATATATGGATTTCAGAGTATTACTTGTGTTGATTCTGTTCCCAAGGGGTCTTCCAATTACATTATGGCAGCAGTTACCAAAATGGGCACAAAGAAATGAAGTCCTTTTGTTTACAGTTAAAACTATTTTTATTTGGCTGTTTTTAATAAAATCTTAACCTAAACCTACTTTATGCCTGCTAAAATGAATAGTAATTTTTTCCTTGATGACAAGGGAAGTAGGCTTTGTGACAGAGAAAGAATAGTTCCAGAAACCATAGTTTTTGTTACTTCATTTTGAAATTATGAACTTAGACTTCAGTTCTGTGGGACAGTGAATGGCCAACTCAGGAAGATAAAATCTGTTTGAATTAGTGAAGGTAATATATTCCTGGTAGGATTTATCCCACATGATGTATCATATTTGAGCAAACTTGCTGTAACTTTTTGTGGCAATCAGGTACCTCCTGCCTGGCATAAAGTGAAGTATAGACTGAGTATATGCTTAAGTGTGATCTGGACCAAATTTGTACTCCTTGGTTCTGGTCAGCATGAATACACAGATTTAGAATATCTCACTTCAGTAAATCATATAAAGTTGAATCTCATGTTTTCATGATAAATACGTTTTAAAAATTGGCTTCTGCTGACACTCCAGAGCTTGTTGCTGCAATGAGTGGTACAAGAACTAATTTCTGTTGCAGCACAGATAGTTGGTAGATGTGTTCTGGCACTTTGTGGCAGTTGATATGAAAGGTTATGTTATATCCAACATGATTTCTTTGTCTCAGGAAAGATAAAGCATTGGAATTTGAGTAGACTAAATTTCAGAACAACTTATTGTATTATTTTGACTTTTAAAATTATTTTGTAATTGGATTGGCTGGAACTCTGTTTTATACTCCTGGCAAACTGTCAAACTGAAGGTAAATGACTGGCCAATAGAAATATTGAATATTTAAAAGGCTAGAGCACTGGAGTATTTTTCTACCTCTGATATTGTGTATCAGACATTCAAATTTTGGTATTTTATTCCCAAGGAAAACTGAAATTAGAATAAAGGATATATAATGGAATTATGAAAATGTATTGTTATTGTAGCAAGCAGTGATAAAAGGGAAAAAAAGGTGGAGATATTTTCTATTAATTAAAAATCTGGAAGAATGTGCTCAAACAGCTGTAAAGTAAGAACAATGATATAATTTCTAAAGCTTGGTAGTCAGATCATTAGTGTACTTAATTCCTGATGTTATTAAGACCCACTCAATATTCAGTAGCTCTGAAAAAAAACCCTAGCCCTCTTGGCTATGTAATTATTTAGGTATCTAACTTTAGCACCAATTGGAATATTGGGTTCATTTTATGTGAACTTTCAGAAGCACTTCAAAAAATATATATTTGCTTAACATAATGTAATCCTCAGAATGTATTTTCTAGCACCTTTTTTGTGGTCTCACAGTCTCGAAAGATCAATTTATCAGACTATATTTAAGGAATTTAAATATACTCTTGAAATATTTTTCTTCTGAAGAGTACTTCAGGTAGCTTTTTCAGAATACACAATGGTTATTAGTAATATCTGCAATCCTTCTTCCTCACAAAAGGACTGCCTTGTAGTTTTTGTTGTCATTAAGATTCAGTGGAAGTCTTTTTTTTAATCACACAAACATGACTGGGAGTGATTGCCCTCCACCCCATCCCAAACTCAAAACAGCAGATCTTCAGACACAAAATTAGATCTTAATTGTACTGGATAAAAATGACAATAAACTGATTTATTATAGCCTTTCTTCCCTTCAACTGCAGTAAATGTCATGGAACACTATGAGCACAGAACTTCACTTGTTTGCTGTTAATTCCACTGGATCTCCCCCTTTAGCATTGGAGCTTGAAAGAATACAAATTTCTCAGTATACAAGCACATTGATACAGGAAGAACAGGAATCTGTTTGTAGTGACATTTGTCTAATGACTTAATAATTCCTCCCTATTACAATTACATTGAACAGAGCAAAAGATTATCATCATAAAGGAAGATTTATTATGCTTTTCTTTTAAATGGCATCCTTGTAGGAGCATTTCCAGCTGAGACCCTAGCAGGCCATGCATTGCCACTGAGTACGTTGTTTCCAGCAGCTTGGGAGTTACTGTAAAAACTGGACCTACCTGAAAGTGCTTTGTCATTAATGTCTTCCGATCATCTTCAATCTGCCGGAACTTGGCCTTCAGCCCTTTCATTTGTGTTTCCATTTTTAAAACATACTGGAAATCCCTCTGAGTCCGTAGATTTAAAACTTCAATAGATTGGGACATATTCTGAACCTGTTAAAGAAGAACACTCTCTAAATGCACTTTTCATTGCTTTGTTTTTTTCACTGGTTAAATGTCAGACAATGAAATGCACTTCTGTCAATTCACTGTGAGTCATTTCTACCACAGTACAGCTCTACTTTCTGTAACTGCATGATGGTACAAATAGTGGGGAAGAGGGCAAGGCCTTGAAGCCAAAAATTGTTTGGACTACTTAGAGATAAAGAGCGAGATAAAGTCTTTAAGCATCATTTTCCTTGGGCTCAGGAAAGGCTGTGATGCAATAGAGTCTGCTTTGAGACCTGCAGTAGATGTGACTGTGGTTCAGAAGGTGCTCATATAGCATATATTTCCTTCCAGGCACTTTGGGAGGGACAGGACTGAAATTTGGAGATTTTGGTCAGTATGAGGAGCAGGATTTTCCTTGTTAGTAAGCATCTATAGAATCACTCAATATAAGGCATTCATAAGACTACCCAGAGATAAGCTGGACTGTGTTAATCATTACAGAAGTATTTTCCCATAATTTGGTTAAAATTAAATTAGAAATTTTATCCAATTGCCTCACTGGTAGAAAACCAATTTTTTTTTTTTTTTTCAGATGAAAAGTAGTGAATGCTTAGGTAACTTTTATAGATAAGTGACTTTGTAGCTATTGTGAGGACATTTACCACAGTGATGCAATAGTAACTGTCATCCAGAGTAAATTACACATACTTTTAAAAGTTTCTGTTATGAAAGCAATAGTAGTTATTCTATTTCATCAAGTGTTTTGTTTTCCTAAAACATGAGAAAACTAGACTGTTGTAAATGTATTTGGCACTTATTGAAGTTTTGGTTCAAACAAGACATATTGTACCTTCCTAAGGAAAGACAAACCCAGCAGTACTCTGTAGTTTGCAAGGAAATGCAATATTTCAAGGGATATTCATGTTTGGAACTAACTCATTATGATCTACAGAATGTATGGATTTAGAAACGACTCTTAAAAATAGTATATATTACTGATTGTACAGTTGCTATTAACAGTTCTGAAAAAGGACTTTTAATAAAAAAAGCAGAGGCTTTTTTTTTTTTTTGCTATCTAATTGTTGTAAGCAGGCAAATAAAGTCCTTTGGGTGCTGGAAGAACTTTGAGAATTTCCATTTGGCAAAAGAAACATTCACATAGAGGCTCTAATTAAAGGACTGTATGGACTCAGGGAAGTAGTAATACCTCCTTTATATGTAATGGATATGTAATGGATATCCATTACACATCCATGATTGCCACAGTCCTAATCATAAGAAAATAGCTTTGAGAGGCTGGTGATTTAGGTTCTGTGACAGCTCAAAAACTCTGTTGTGATCTTATCATACCCCTCCAGCCCTCACCTCAAAATAAAGGGCTATTTTAGTAATATTTGAGTATTCGGGGAATATGCTGGAGCCAAGACTAGAGTGTTCCTTTCTTAAGTAAACAGACAGCATGAAGGGCGGCAGCTCCTTTTCCCTCTGTGGCCCATCAAAGTCCTCTCCATGCATCTCATGTTATGGGCTCTGTCAACTTGAAACTTTGTCCCGTCTCAAGTTCATGGAAGCACAAGGAGCAAAAATTTATGGGGCTCTGGCACTATATCAACACTGGAATGACTTTCCTAGAGCTAGAAAAATACTAAAATTTGTATGCTAAAAATTTATTTTCAAGTCTACATTTTATGTTGATTTTTGGTGCTGTTCAAGCTCTCTCTCAGGCCTCAGGTTCTGTACCACTGGCTGTGATACAGTAACTATAACCTTGCTTACTAAAACAGGGAATGCAGAGTGTTAGTGTTTTCATAGTTGCAGCATTTTTCTGTTCATGCAAAACAAGGCTTCATTGGTTTCACCATATATGCAGTAGTGGATAATATTGGAATTAAGAATTGGGCTGTTGGGGAAAATTTTCACCATCAGAAAATGAATAAATAAACTTGAAAAAAGAAACAACGAAAAAAATTAAACTGTTTATGCTCTGCACAGTTTGCTTTCAAGATGCTGTGGTGTCTCTCTCATTATTTTTTGAAAAGAGATAAGAAATGGCGTTCAGCAGTGTCATATGATCGAAGCAGAAGCTGTAGTTTAAATCCCTGAGCTAGTTTGATGTGGGATTTGTAATTGATTTTACACAGAAAAATCTGTCCTCTTGTATGTAGGAAAGAATTTGGGAGGAGTGAGAGAGAGAAGATGTAACTTGGGTTGGGAAAGGTGTGATGTAAGGAAAACAGATAAATAACAATCAGAGATGAGAACACAGGTAGGGTTCAATAACAATTTTTATCATTCATTAGTTGATTATGTATTAACTGAGAAGGAAAGCAGTAGATTTCCATGGGAAGTTTAATGACCAAGGGGAGGAATTTTTTGGGAAGACTTACCTTCTCTAGTAGTTGTCTGAGTTGCCTGCTTTTGGCATCTCTAGAACATAGGTTTTGTTCAGGTGCAACAACAGTGCAAATGCAACGGCCATCAGGATCCTGGGCTGAACTGTAAACTTGCCACCCTTCCTTGGGGCTAATCTGAGTCTGTAACAACAAAATAATAACAATCAAAGGAATGGAACTGATTTTTTATTGTTTGAAAAAAAACACTGCAGCAGAATATTTTTATTTTTGCAGTACATGTCTGCAATGAGGTTCCTACTAGCCAACAATTATTACTCTTCCTTAATTAGTTTGGTAGTTTCCCAGTTTTGCCACATCTCACACTTTTGCAATAGTTCTCTAGAGGAGTTTAGCACACACAATTTCCAGGGTGGATGAGAATGGTATTCTGCTTGTGATTCAGCACAAATCAGGTGATTTAATTCTTTGCAAAGGGACGTTGCAGTTTTTCATCAGCAGAGAACAAACACGTCCTTTCAGCCTGGATGACTTTTACTTTAGACTAATGGAAACAACAAAGACAGGAAAGAACAAACATATGAGCCTGGGGAGAGCGCAGTGTGTGACTCACGGGTGGGAACTGGCTCAGCAGCAGCTTGGAGGTGGGGGACAGGTTTGCTCTTGAAGCTGCACCTCACAGGAACTGCTCTCCCCGGGCTCCCACTGCTCTTAGCCAGGGAACAGAGGCTTGCTCAGGGTGGGATGGAAGTGTCTGGTTAGGCCAGGGGAATGGGGCTCATGGCAAGCAAACCACAGTGATTAAGACACTGCATGTCCTTCACTGGGACGGCAGAAAACTGGAAATTCCTAACCTGTTCTTTTTTACAGCAACCACGACTGAGAAAGAAAGGCAAAAAAAAAAAAAAAAAAAAAAGGAATCACATTTGTTTGCAGAACAGGGTTAACACTGAACTGCATTTAATCTTTGTGGGGGATTCGGTATCTCTTTAATGGGATGTACAGAAATAGTAGGAATGACAGAAAACAATATAATGAGATGATTGAAAGCCTTCAGGTGATGGAACTTAATAGATGCAAGAAAAAGTTTTTGAACTTTGTTTTTAAACTGTAATTTAAAGTTAATATTGTGCTTTAATTTTTCCTAATATTGTACTGAGTGATGAATTTCATGGCAGAGATGCTAATGGATATCATTGAAGTAATTTTGGTCTGGACACAGTTGGAATCAGTTGCTATTTATATTATAAAATTGTACTCAGTGCCAATAGAGAAAGCCATTATTTAAACTGGGAAGCTTTGATACTGATGCTTTCCTGGCAGCTTAGTGCAGGAGTTGCAGAGTTCCTCATCTCTGAAGAGGTGCCAGTATCTCTATGGACTGAGGTAAGAAAAGAGCACAGGCTTTTCACAACAGTGACTCCTCTGAAGAAGTAATTGAAGTTGGCAGTGACTGTCTACTGCAGAGTTAATAGAAAAATCAAAATTGTGTTATTGCCATGTTTTGCAAGGAAAACCAAAGTGCTATAATGTAGATGACTTGAAGAGATGAGGGAGCTTGGTCTGATGAGCTTTGAGAAGAGATGACTGAGAGGGGACCTCATCAATGTCTATATGCAGGGAGGTGTCAGAGGATGGACCGGGCTGTGCTCAGTGGGACAAGAGGCAATGGGCAGGAACTGATGCACAGGGAGTTCCACCTGAGCACGAGGAAGAACTTCTTCACTGTGCAGCTGACCATGCACTGGACCTGACTGACCAGAGGGGGTGTGGAGTCTCCCTGCCTGGAGACATTCCAGAATGGTCTGACACAGCCCTGTGCCAAGTGCTCTAGGATCACTTTGAGCAGGGAGGCTGGACCACAGGATCCACTGTGGTCCCTTCCAACCTTGCCCATTGTCCCTCTCCTGTAAAAAGATGATCTTGCCTGAGCTTTTGCTAGAAAGGAACAACCACTGTTCAGCACTAAATTATACTGCTTCTATAGCATTCTCTGCACCTTAATTTTCAGAGCAAAGGGAATTTAACTTAAGACATGGAGAACAATAAAAACTAAATAAAATTACATCTGCAGAGACAATTTTAAATGGTCTTGAGAAGCTACTAAAATTGCAGGCTTTAACAAGTGAAGCCTTTGAAAGCTGTAACCCTTGAAAAGTGTAAGCTATATATACTCCAGTAGTTTCCACGTTTGTAGAACTTTTGGCCAAACAGTGTGGTCATGCAACAGCAAGGAAACTTAATTTTTTGTGGAAGTTCAGGAACATGTTAAGGAACCCAGAGTTTGTGATTATAATTCCTTTAGTAATTAATATAAGTTCATGAAAAATTATTATATTTGAGACTTATGCCTGCTACATTTAGACTGGGGGCAGCTGTTTTCACTGGATTCAAGTAAGTGTTCTACAGTGGACAATGTATGAGACACCAGGATCATGCAGTCCCATAGTAAAGCTGTATAATCCAGTCTGAATTTTCAAAGGTACTTATTTATGCCAGAGAGGTTCTAAGTGTCTCTCTAGGCTTTATCTAAGGAAAGAAAAAACACTTTAATGATTAACTTAGCAGATATTTTTATGGTGTCTAAAATACATCTGATTAAAAAGGTAACTTCTCTTTGGGAAAATATTTCTCAAAGTGAGAGACTGGTTAACCAAGAGCATGGTTATTGACTGCCTGTGAATAAATACCCACTCATATAGTACCACAATTTTGGCTACAGTCCAATGAATTTTTCTGTCATTCCTCTATTTGGAATTTCAGGCTTCCTTCATTAATTAGGATGGGTAATATGAGTGATGGAAGAGAAAAACATGCATGTGTTTCTATTATTGTTTTAGTTTGAAATTTAATCCCTACTTCAAGGAGAAACTGTTGTGCAGAAAAAGAGCTAAAAGTCATCAAAACCTTACAGAAGCTACTGCATCAACTTTTCAAATGCAGGCTTCCTGCTTTCTTTGTAAACAAGAAAGAAAAGAAATAACAAGTGGAAACAACAATAGTAAGTTTTACTAGTTCTTGAAAATCTGGGGAAAACAGATGAGTCCCTCTAAAGTCCAATATTAACACTGCCATGGCAGCCTGCTGTACTAAAGACTTAGATCACTTCTGAAAGATTTATTTTTTTCACTTCCACTTTCATATATTCTAACAAAACTGTTACAGCTGCCTCTGTTGTTGGTAGAGTGACAGGTCAAAGGACAGTACCTTACTTAGGATGTTTGCTTAAACATAAACAGTATTTTCTGGTTTGTCTTGCAATTTCAATCCTGGTACTGAAACAGAGCTCAAATGAGGAGGCCCTTTGCCTGACCCCACATCCTTGTACAATTCCTCCAGCTAAGGCAGGAAATTGGGAGGTTTTGTTCTTTTTTTACATTGTACAATACACACAATTTATCAGCTGTGTTTGTGCTAGGAGAGAAATTCTGGAGAAGAGCTCATGCTGCAGAGTTCACTGGAGAAGCTGCAAGTGGGAAACTCTGGATGGCAGCCAAAAATCAAAAATGGTATTACTGAGCACTTGGGGCATAAACTCTTTCAAGCAACATCTACAGTTTTGAGAAAGGTACCAGATTTGTGGTGCTCAGTTTTGTGTAAAAAGAACCCTACATGATTGGAATTCATGTTTTCTTTATTTGGCAGATGTTGCCAAGCTCAGATAATCAAATTTTTGTTATCACTTTCCCAGCTTTACTGGCACTCTTGCTACCCTTAGCAAAACAAGAAATATGCATATAGCTCAACTCAATGGGTGAAAAGAGCATTCTTGAAATACTATTTAGAAGGCATTTCTGTCAGCAGTGCCCTATTGTAGCCAAGGGGAGCATGGCAGTTTTGTTCTACTTAGAATCTGAACAGATCATTACAAACATATATTTGTGTGTGTATAATTTATATATATATATATATATATATCTCATAATAACTAATGTGCCTCTTGAAGTTACACAGTGGCAGTTTTAAACTTGGATGTAAATGTGATAGGGAACTTTTACTTATAAAATGTTACTTATAAAATACAGCCACAAGAACTAGCAGTATATACTGTGACTCAGTGAAATGAAATTACATTTAAGGAAAATAGAGCTTTTCTTTGTATTCTCATCTTGCTGCTCTAAAAGATAACAGTTTTTCTTCCAACATATTTAACTTTGAAGTAGTAATATTAATATTTATAAACTAAATACAGTGATTTTCTGCAGTAGTATTTTTCCTGCATGCATATATTCAATTATTCCATTTTAGTTAGTAAATGCATAATTTTTAGTTACAAAATTCTGAGTTTTGAGAATTTTGCGAATAATTACATTTATATTTTACATAATCTATTATTATGTAAACGTCTGATTGCAGTTATACAAAAAGATACATAAACAAGAGTGTTTTACTAAGCATTTAGGAAAATTATGTTCTAATTTAATTTAGGAATACCAGGATAGTGCTCCCTCTAAAGTAAAAAGTTACTTGACTTTGTAGGCTTCTATTCACATCTTTCCTGTAGGTTTTTATTAACTGAGGCTGCTGTGTATAAGCATCAATGATACAAAGTGATATTTCTGTCATTTGTATTATTGCCATTATCAGTCTTTAAAAAATTCTGGTATCTAACCTCCTAGTACCAATTTCATTTTGTTTCTAACAGCTATTTATTTGTTTAACTGTATTCCAATAAAGAAAAATAGGAAGGAATCAGACCCTTTGCATATTGTAGTGAATAGTTACTAGGTAACATTATCCAATTTTCAAAAAGAAAGCTACTGCCAGATATAATATTATAAACAACACAGTGCATTTTTCTGGAGCAGTAAAGATAGGAAGAACAGTCTAGACAAATGAAAAGACATTGCTTTTTAGCATTTCATCCCCAAGATGAAGGCATTTGATCTTACATATTTAAAAATACTATTTTGAAACCTTCCCTTTCATAGGGAACCACAACATGCTCACCAATGTGCAGTTTTATGATGCCCAAAAAGAAGCATGCATTAAGAGATGATAGGAAGATTAGAAAAGAGATTCACAAAGAAGCAAGAAACTAACGCTTTTGCTGGCACTTAAATATTAATTCAGCATTAAGATAGTTTGCAACATATAACAGCTACTTACTAGAGTATCTGAAGTGGTTATTCTGGTGGTATTTAGTCCTACCAGAGAAGGGAGAGTTTGGGACATCCAGTTAG